TTATTCACACATCACTGTTTCAACAGTCGGGACCAAACTTTTAACAAAGAAACACAAACTAACTGGAAACCATAAAACAGCTCCACAACATGATTTTGTCTGCAAGCCTCTCCTTCATCATTCTCCAAGCCCTCATCCAGATCACTCATTATAGTTCAGTATAGATTTTACAAGTCCACCCTTAAATCACTCTTTATCAAGCTCTTGGTGTAACTATAGTCTGTTTTACGACTTTCATTTTTGGTCTCATTTAAGTCTTCTCTTTCATATTCTAGTTTTTTTTTTTTTTTTAATTAATCATTTAATAATCAGGATCCCTGTGTGAGACAATGTGGGTCAGATGTTATATATTACCAAAACAAACACAAAGTATCCAGAAAATATGGAAAACTCAAATGTGGCGTATTAGATTTTAGTGGAATTTTTTTTTAACTTCTATAAAAAATATCTACTGATGTTGATGCCAGCGGTAAGAGGAGAACAGCCAGACTGCTTCGAGCTGATAATAATGCATAGTAACTCAAGTACCTGTTCATTACAGCCAAAGTATGCAGAAGAGCATCTCTGAACAGCAGCAGAAGACCACACCAGGTGTTGCCTTGTCTGATAAATCTCGATGACTGTTGCCATATTTGGATGGTAGCGTCAGAATTTGGTGTAAAGAACATGAAAGCATGGATCCATCCTGCCTTGTGTTAACAGTTCAACCTGGTGATGTGGGTTTAATAGTGTAGCAGGATATTTTCTTGTCACACTTTAGCACCAACTAACAACCATTTAAACACCACAGCCTATCTGAGTGAATCCAACATAAATTTACATTTGTGCATCCAACTCTTGTTTTTAGAAGTCAGGGAAGCTGGAGTAAGAACCAGCAAGAACCCACGCAAACTGTACACCCGGAGAGAAACCATGCAAACTCCACACAGAAAGATGGTGGATTTGAACCCAGCACCTTGCTGTGAGGCAAGAGTGCTAACCACCGTCTCATCCTGCTGCTCCTACATATAATTAATAAACAATCATTTTATATTATTATGAATGCAATTTGCACTAGTATCCAGCACAATCTCAGTCTTACTATTCTATTTGTTTTTATTATAAATACAATTTTCGCTCCCTCTCACAGCATAAAGCCCCTGCTATGTACCTGTGGCACTCTTACTTTTACTAACTATGGTGGTTATTTCTACTAGACTGTACTATTTTTTTTATCCTACTACTGTCCTAATTTTCCCTCAATAGAGTCTAGCGGCTAGCTAACTTGATAGCTAGCTACTACTGCACAATGATAGGAAAAAGAAAAGCTCTAAAAGACATTTAAAGCTTTCAAATGGCCAGTGAAAGTCATGCCCAAGAACAAAATAAAACTTTTGACCACACCTGTAAACCTGCTTAACAGTGAAGGATACGTTTAGCCATTTTATTTTGAAAATCAACCCCCTCCCCGGAAGCGCCCTCTGTCGGTCCATGTACTCTGACAGGTTTATCAAACAGAGGCAGAAAGCTCTCTCGGAACTCTGCAGCCGCAGCGGCTCTGATTATTTCACCATCGGGGTTCGGTCCAACATGGCGGCTTACGGATGGAAATACTGATGACAGTCCGAAAGATCGCCTCGATTTGTACGATGGTAAGAAGCCGAATCCGGTGCTTTTATCCGCGGGGCGTGAATGCGCTGCGCCTCTGTCCGGTCCCCCCTCCCAGGGACGCTAGGCTAGTAGCTGCTCCGCTAGCCTGTTCGCTAACCTCACAGACAGGACAACATAATTAAAAGAAGAAAAAAACATCAGTCAGTCAGGTTTTCTCGGGAAAGTTGTAGAGCCTGCGAGGAGCATCAGTTCACCAGTGCTTATTCTGCACCTCTGTGTGGAAAGAGGAGAGGAGCTTCACGGGGAAACAAAGCGTGTTTTAACAGCCAGCCTCGGTTTGTTTACGCGGAGAAGGGCGAAAACTAGCTAGCCTAGCATGCTAGCTCTCACGGCAGCAGTCTCTGGACTCGTCTGGATAAAATTTACGGGCTTTCAAAATGACAAAGTTGTTGTTGCACCATTGCGTATGTAAGTCAAAGGTGTGATAGGCAGACAATGGGCGGATGTAAACAGCTCAGCCAGCTGACTGCTGCCTGTTCGTGTGTAACTGGTGGAAATTTTCCAGCAGTTCCTGTCATGGGATACACCCTGGATGCCCCCCAACCCCCACCGTGGACCTGCTAATAGTTTGGCTTTACTTCTATAAAAAAAATAAAAAATAAAGAAGCCTTCAGCAAGGCAGAAGAGTCCGGACAGTTTAAAGGAAACCAAAGTTGTTGGGTGTGACTGTGCATTTTCTTTTTGCTTTTTTATACCGCCCTCTTTATCAGGAGCCATGTTTACGTTTGCACATGTAATGCCTTGTAAGGAGTTAAATAAGATTTCCCCAGACACACTCCACTCGTTAAAGAGAAGCTGAAAACGTGAGACATAACACTGCCTGGTTTCCTGTTAATGTGACCAGCTCTGCGTTTGCTTCAAGCTTAACCTCTGACTGTAACTTGTCCTGTTTGCATGTGCTGCACCTTTCAGAGGAGGACAGATGGTGATGCAGATGCTTTGGAGAAGCCTGCTGCAGTCTTTGTCATTCATTTGTTCCCGTGTGTAAGCTCTTATCCAGTGTTTTGTAACAGCCCAGCATCTACAAGACAGAAAAAAAATAGTTTGATTCGTCTCTGCTACCTTTGCGGGCTACGAGGTGCTGGCCGGATGGTGCTTGTTTCCACAGAAAGTTGATTTGGTCGTATGGAAAGTGCAAAAGCCACAAACAAAAGCTGCACAAGCCACAGCGGGGCACGGCCGAATTCAAGCGTTCGTCTGCCTTTGACGTGTGAGGCGGTGGACCTTTGCAGGGTTCAGAGCGTTGGTGTTTCCACAACAGCAGTGAAGTGCATCTTTGAAACGAACTGCCTTTGCTTCCATTGAAGGTGGATTTGTAATTTAAAAAGTAGAAGCTTAAATTACTAGTGGTTTACACATTCACCTGACAAGCAAAAGATCCCCTGGTTTGATCCAAAGAGGGACCATAAGTTCCCCTCTGTGGTTGTGCGTCCATTCAGGGGGAAAAAAACAGCCAAATTAACACGCAAGGCTACAGAGGCCTAAATAATTATTTAATCTAACCTTAACTGAACCAGGATAATATGATGTGAGATTTAAAAAAAAAAAAAATCCTGTCCAATCCATGGCAGTTGCGTAGACTAGTAACACGCATGAACATGCACACAGCTAAGCTCCACGCGACAAAGACAAATCATTGTCTCAGGCCAACAAACAGGGTTAGTAATAACTGAACCAAACTGTAAAGTTTCAGTTTAATTTATTGAGATTTCAATTAAAATAAAACCTCAAACATGAAATTATATAAAATAGTTATTTGTGAAATGGAATTCCTCAGAAGTTATCCTCAAAGTTTACAGAGTTGGGCTTAACCAGGCAGCGTCACGGTTAACCCTGGGTTTGCGTACATCACTATGGTAACAGATAGTTTGAGATTAGAGATCAACAGGTATGCCATGACCGCCTGCTGACTTGTCAATAGTTCTTATTTAACGGGGTAATGTTAAATAACGTTACTCGGATTGTTGCACTGTTTTGTAGTACAGGACCCTGGTCCACCTTAAACCACCTTAAAAGTGTATTCAGGGAGAGCAGCTGCTTGAGGTCTAGTAGGTAGATATAGATATATTTGTAGTTCAGTGTGAACTTTGAGGAGAGACAGAAGAAATGAGTCTCGTTGTCACGCTTTATAAGAAAAGATGGGAGCAGATAAAACCCGTTATTACACACTCATTCCCAAAGTTACATTCCAATCAGTCATGCTTATATTCCTGGTCACCACTCAAACACTAATTTTGAGCTGGGAAGATTACAAAAAAAATCCTAATCATGTTACTTGAATAACATCAGATCTTTGCCTCGCCTGGTTTCCTGTCACTGTGCGCTTGTCCAGCAGAAATAAAGGAAAGAAGCTTCATTTTCTTTTAAAACGCAGCAGACGCGGCTCGTCTCGTGGACTCGAGTTATTTCGGAGCACGGGGGCAGGAAAAGGGCAGACAGACTAATGCTTTCCTAGCATCCTCTCGACCGATCGTCATGATTAACAAACCCGATCGGTGTCTGACAAAACAGCCACTTAAGAGTTTCCACTCGCGCTGTTTTCTAACAGCCTTTCGTGCTGCCCCGACTTCACTTCAACTTTCATTTCCACCAGTGCAGGAAGTGCAGCTCGTTTCAGAATCGGCATAAACCAAAAAAAGAAAGCATGAGTTAATTAAAAAGTGTGTTATTTCAGAGCACGCTTAGACCGTCTCACTCTGCACGCAGATGTTTGCTGTCGTCTTTGTTTGCCTTTCTGAGATCCTTGAGCTTGTTTTTGTTTACAGCCCCGTGCTGCTCGGAGGTCGTGTTTGTCTGTGACTTTACAAAGCGTTCACAGCATCACCATCTTCATCATCATCATCATCACGCCCCTCGCCTCGCACTGGTTCTCCCTGCTGGTGTAATTTAATCCTCGGTTTCTAGCAGGACTGCAGGGTTATATGTCAGTGTTATTCAGAAGTGTTTTTAATGCACTGTCACGTAAACACAGCCCTGCTTTCACATCCACGCTGTGCTACAAATCTGTCAAAATGCACTTCACATTAATGCAGTGCTTCTTTTAAAAAACATTTGTTCTACTGCAGCTCAAACACAAAACAAAATCAACAGGGCAGTGCTTTCACTTTATGTTACGTTACTTTAAACTTCTTTGCAGGCTTGCCCTGAGTGGAAGTATAGAAGCAAAATGCACTGCAAAGAAAACAGCTCAGCTCTCAACGGGGCAAAAAAAGTCATGTTGAATATCTATAATATGATATGGACTCGGTAATGTGTGAGGAATGGAAGGATGCCACATCAGGATCAACCTACAGAAAACTGTGGGCTGGTAGAGTTGTGTAAGGACGTCAGGCTCTCAGGCCACCCTCATGAAGTCTGTTTCATTTTGTAGCTCTGGAAGTGCTCATTCTGCTCATTCTCGCAATGGCCGTCCTGGAGGAATTAAACTACCTGTGTGACCTCTGTAGGGTCCAGTTATGGCCTGATGACGATGGGGGTTCAATTTTGATTAATTGTGGGATTAATCAATGTGGGACTAATGTTTCAGTCACGTTAGAGCTATAAAAACAGGACTACAGCCTCGTTGCAACAATAGAAATCGGTGGTTGCTCAGCAATTGAAAACAGTTCTAGTGACCAGAGGTGTGGAACACCCTCAGCTTGCGGGTCACCACTTTCAGTCACAGAGCAGTTGCACAGCAGGTCTCCTGGTTTTAGGCAACTTGTCTCCAAACAGTCAGATTCAGGCAGTCACTCTCAGACCGATTGAGTCTGCGAATAATTGCTGTCTAATTGACAAACACAGCAGTCAGCCTGATTCAGCTGTGCCAGTGCAGTAGTGGGTTTGACTCGACCAGTTTGCAGCTAGTTTTGTTCTGGTTATGCTGCCATGAGCTTGTGTAATTTTTGTGGTTAAGTTGTCGTTGCAGAAGCTACGTCACAATTCGTGGAGGGATTTTTAAAAATGTTTTAAATTGCTGCGTTAAATCTGTGACGTTCCGATCAGACTCGTTTGCACTAGTTTGTGAAACAACAGCAAAAAACGAAAAGCCAGGAAACAATCAGTCCAAGGGTCAACTCGCCCCCCTTCAGTCACAAACTGATGGCAATAAAATAAGACTGCTATCTTGATGAATAAAAGTTGCTTTGATGACCTGGGCGGCCCCGTCTGTGTAACAAATACTTCAGAGGAAACGAGAATGCTAACTTTTTGCACACATTGGGGATAATTGTGGTCATGTGTCTGTGTCTTTGAGCCTAAAGTCCTGAGTTCTCAGTGTAAAGAAGGCATCTTCTCTTTTTACCTGGCTAGATCGCCATGGTAACTAATGCTGAACACATAAACTGGACCGCAGCAGGTTATGCAACACTATCCCTCTAGATTGATGGAATGTGTTGCCCTCACTTTAGTCAGCTTTCACATTTTGGGTATCAATAAAATTGCTTTTCAGCCTGTTTTTACATATATGTAGATGTGATTAATGGGGCTCATCAGTGTGCAGAGGAAAATAAAATGCAGAAACCGAGGATGTGAAGTGAAAAACACAGCTGCAGCAAGCAGATGGCTGAAAGTCCAGCAGAGCAGAGAGAAAACAGAGCAGGAAAAACTGGAACCTTTGAGGAGGAAATTAGGACAAAGGAAGTTTTTAATGGATCATTTTTCATTAAAACAAAAACACTGACTGCAAGTTGTTACACATGAAAATGTTCAGGAAAAAATAAATAAAACAGTCATTCTTTTCCTTGTTTTAATTCTTTTCTTGCAGGGCGCCAATGCCTCTGCCTTGGAAAAGGAGATTGGACCGGAACAGTTTCCCGTAAATGAACACTACTTTGGCTTAGTTAACGTAAGTATCTAGTGGTGGCCATGCACCTGTTTACGTGCTGCAGACTGCAGAGCACAGCCAGCAGCTACTAATCATGTCCGTCTGTTTGAAGATTCACACCGGATGTTTAGTTGTCAGGCCACTTCTTTAGTACTGCCGTGGCTTATTTGGTGTAGACGAGCAGAAAACCTGCCCTCCTCTAAACCCCCTGACCTTCTCTCTGTTCCTTTTTCTTTCTAGTTTGGAAACACCTGCTACTGTAACTCAGTGCTGCAGGCTCTGTATTTCTGTCGACCGTTCAGGGAGAAGGTGCTGGCGTACAAGGTAAGTAATGAGAGACGAACTGTTGAGATAAAACCTGGTGCCATGACAGAATGCAAACACAGCTAAATGCCATATTGATATGAAAGACTGGGTTGT